GGGGGGGGGTCAGTGTCCTTTTTATTTATGGGTGGACGCCCGCACAGCTGCCTGCATCTCAGGAGGACTCGAGACACCAGGTCTCCCCACACCGGAGTTCCAGATTTTGCTCTCTGTCCTTTTTCCACTCGTTCTGGACTTTTACAGCCTTCCTCCTCCCGCTGTATACTCAATCCTGTCCAATCATTGGTGGGGAGGGCACCCCGGGAATGAAGGAATTGGTTTTCCTTGTATATTGAGCAGTTGAATGGGTCATTTTTAACTGAGTTTCCAGGTCTGTACACCTGCTGTGCCCATTGAGGGGCCCCCACCATCCCTGTGCTGAGTTCCCGGGTCTGTACACCCGCTGTGCCCATTATGAGGGGCTCCCTCCATCTCTGTGCTGAGTTCCCAGGTCTGTACACCCGCTGTGCCCATTATGAGGGGCCCCCACCATCCCTGTACTGAGTTCCGGGGTCTGTACACCCGCTGTGCCCTTTATGAGGGGCTCCCACCATCCCTGTGCTGAGTTCCCGGGTCTGTACCCCTGCTGTGCCCATTATGAGGGGCCCCCACCATCCCTGTGCTGAGTTCCCGGGTCTGTACACCTGCTGTGCCCATTATGAGGGGCTCCCACCATCCCTGTGCTGAGTTCCCGGGTCTGTACACCTGCTGTGCCCATTATGAGGGGCTCCCTCCATCTCTGTGCTGAGTTCCCAGGTCTGTACACCCGCTGTGCCCATTATGAGGGGCCCCCACCATCCCTGTACTGAGTTCCCGGGTCTGTACACCTGCTGTGCCCATTATGAGGAGCTCCCACCATCCCTGTGCGGAGTTCCCGGGTCAGTACACCTGCTGTGCCCATTATGAGGGGCTCCCACCATCCCTGTGCTGAGTTCCCGGGTCTGTACCCCTGCTGTGCCCATTATGAGGGGCTCCCACCATCATTGTGCTGAGTTCCCGGGTCTTTACACTCGCTGTGCCCATTATGAGTTGCTCCCACCATCCCTGTGCTGAGTTCCCGGGTCTGTACACCCGCTGTGCCCATTATGAGGAGCTCCCACCATCCCTGTGCTGAGTTCCCGGGTCTGTACACCCGCTGTGCCCATTATGAGGGGCTCCCACCATCCCTGTGCTGAGTTCCCGGGTCTGTACACCTGCTGTGCCCATTATGAGGGGCTCCCACCATCCCTGTGCTGAGTTCCTGGGTCTGTACACCTGCTGTGCCCATTATGAGGGGCTCCCACCATCCCTGTGCTGAGTTCCCGGGTCAGTACACTTGCTGTGCCCATCATGGATGAGCTGGAACATCCAAAACTCTCATGTAGACAGGAGCAGAGCTGGGAATGTCTCGGGGAGATCTCTCTGTAGGAGTATCTGGGACACAGAAGACGTCAGGACCGAATCAGCCCAGCAGGTCCCACCTATTGGTAAAACATCAGTCTGGGTTGGAGTGTGTCCGGTGCTCCGCACGCTGACAAGGAGTGAAGTCATTTTCTCCCAGTGACAGAACATTGAGTCCTAAGCTCTGCACAAAGAGCACAATGTAGTGGCAGTCACACGGGCGATGAGGCTGGCACTGCCAGTGCTGTGTCAGTTCAGTTAATCCAGGAGGGGGAAGGGGGGTGGGGGGCACATGCCCGGTGTGCCCATGTTCCAGTTCTTTGGGACTTTCCAGTCCATTTTCACAGTATGGTTTTCAGGGGGGCGAGCCGGCGCCCGCTCAGTCCCTCATGTAGAGAGTCATCACACCCGCTTTGTGCAGATCCTGCCACAGATTCATTTCTTTATGGTAATGGTGGTTGGAGTAGAATGCCACCTTATGGTACTTGACATCGTAATAATGATCCGAGAATTTTTTATAGTTGGGGGTCATGAACCCATAGGCGCTGACCTGAAACGGGAGAGAGAAGGGTTAAGGGGTGGGCTCTTGGCAACTAAAATGTTAACTAAACCTCGGAGATCTGATATACCCATCTCTCTGCTCTCTCATCCCATCAACATGCTTCTAGTCAGCACATGAACCGACTGGCTCCTAGTGCTGATTCTTCCCCTCACAGTCCAATGTTGCTATGGAGCCCTATCTTCTGAAGTTCTGTTTGCCCCCTTTCTACAGGTAAGATAAGGTGACAGGGGAAGCAATTCTATGTCGGTAGGTTTCAAATTGTTTTTTTTTTTTAATTTGTAACGAGGTAACAGGTTATCAGACAAATGTATCTTTTACAGACGGCTGGTGTTTGCTTAAGGCGAAGTATATTAGTTTGTCAGTTTGCGGGACTCCAACCATCCACGCATTGGGTGAGTTTTCCTGCAGCACCGGTTGCAGCCACAGGTTGGCGCTCACGCTGCATATTTCACGGCGTGTCTAAACTACGTTTTTGGCCTGTAATTAAGTCTACAGTGTAACTTATTATGGGTCATGTCCTCACTTATGGAAGGACTCCGCAATCCAAAATGGACTAACTGACCCCATAACGTAACCCCGGTGCAGCTTCAGACCAAGCTGCTTTCATGCTTACTCTTTATAGGAAGCTTGCGTTTCTCCACCTCTTTTCGGTCACCCTTTAAAAGTATGCAAAATCTCGGGGGACCCCAGTCTAAAATATAAATACATACTATAAATGTATAGGGACGGCTATGGATTTTAAGGGGGATCCCATGAGAAAAAATAAGCAATAAGGGGTTCCTCCGTTCACATCAGTCCCTCCTTAAAACGAGAAGCCCCCTTTATATCAGAGCCCCAACCTTGCATTAGGAGCCCCCTTCAGATTAGGAAGCCCGGTTCACATCAGAGCCCCCCCCCCCTCACCT